TTTTTTTTTTTTTTTTTTTTTTTTTTAATTCATATTTTTTTTTTTATAAAATTTCTTTGGTGATATTTTTGGTATGAGAAAATGAAGAGGGAGAGAGAGATTTAGAGTGTTAGTAGTTGAAATAATTTTATTATTAACATAAAAGATTGTTATGCCTTTATAGTAAGAGTTTAAATTTGTATAATTTCTCTCTTTTCCATCTTTTCTCATATATTTGGATTACTTGTTTTAATACATACAAAATATTTTTAGTTAATTAAATTTAATATTTAAAAATAATATATACGGCCTCTCCCTTTTCCTTCATTTTAGTCCAATGATCAAACATAGCCTTTAATTTTATTATTATAATAAGAAAAATGAAAGAGAAGGATTAGTGGAGGTGGAACTGAATTTCAAAAGAAGATTGTCCCATTTTTTTTAAAAAAAGAAAAAAATCCTTTTGTAATATATTTGGTCTAAGAAAATAAAAGAGAAGAGAGAGATTTGAAACTTTAGTAATTAAAGTAGTTTTATCAATAATATAAAAAATTTACATGTCCTGTCTTTTATTTTTCATTCCTTTTTTCACAAGTTTAAACTATTTACTTTAATACATAAAAAAAAAAAAGAAATAATTTAATTTAATTAATAAAAATATATATATACGGCCTCTCTCTTTTTCCTTCATTTTAGTCAAATGATCAAACATACCCTTTAATTTTATTATTAAAAAAAAAAGAAAAAAGAAAAACGAAAGGAAAAGATTAGTGGAGGTGGAAATGAATATCAAAAGAAGATTGTCCCATTTTTTCCTGTGTGGTGAATATTGGATTCTTGTTGCTTTTCATTTGGGTTTCTTTTTGTTTCCCATTTTCTGCCAAAGTTCTTTTTGTTTCCTTAAAACAATTGCTTTTGAAGTTCCTGTTTAGCCACTTTAATTTTACAGTACTGTGACCAAACAGTGAGTTTGATGTTACCTGCTTGGTGTGATTTATATGACCCTTTGTATATATGTATTCTTATTTACACTTTAGATCGTTGTTTCTTGAATGGTTTGATTTTTTTTTTTTTTTATAGTCGCAAAAACTTTTTTTATCTGTTCATGGTGATTGGTTATTTGTTTTTTTAATTAATTTTTTAGTATTTGATAATTACATTTGATTTTAATAAATTCAAAATTAAATCTTGTCAAATCTTATTGAGGAAAAAACTCTTCTAAT